AATGTACACTAGGTGCCAATCAAATACAGAACTTTTGAGATCGAACCGCCACTTTTCTGCTCTCTATTCACGTACAAGTCTCCGTATATGTACATCGATTGGCCTGTTTTAGTCATTATGTAGTGTTTTTCAACCTCCTTTATTTATTTGGACTACAAAGAGAAAGTTCTCTGCACAGGACGCTGCCAGCGTTTTGAAGGATCTGATATCTCGCATAACTCTTGCGACACATTCGTTGAAAATTCTTAAGGTTGTCGCAACTGCCGTTTTCGGTCATTATGTACCGTTTTTAATCTTCCGGTGGTATACATTTTGAATGCCAATTTGTATCCACAGTAAATGAGGGATTTTCTGTTTGGTAGTTTAGAATATTACTTTCAAAACAATGTGACTCCCTCTCTTAAGTAATCTTTAGTGCCTGAAGTACCATTTTATACCCCGATATAGTAAAAGTTGGATTTCGTTAGTTAACCTACGACAGGCGTGCTCCGTGTCTAGCGCCGAGTTCTTATTCGAAGATCACAGGTCTTCTGTGTGTGCGCCTATATAGACGATAAATGTATCCCACAACCCTGAAAGGGCCGGATTCCAGCCCACAGACCCGAAGACAGGTTCGTGCGACACAAATTTGTCTCCTCTGGTGTTAAATAGGTCGGCTCCTATTGGTGACGCTTGATACCAAGGAGAAACCAGTTTAGTATGAAACCTCAATCTCCCCGATCTCTCTATGTCAGCCTTTAATTTCAGGAAATCGTAGCTTTTCCGGTGTGCAGGTGCTACTTTATGATGAATATTCGTGTTACAAAATGTTTATGAAAATAAACTTGCATGTAACTGGCCGATTTATATCGACTACAAAAACTGGTTAAATAATTTAAATAATAGGCTCAGTATCAAAGTGAAAACTGGGAAGATCTTCTGTGGAAGTACACACATACATCTGGTGTCCGGCAGCATTAATCTTCGTTCACTGAGACATGAAAAGGGCATCTTTTCCTTCGATTATCAATTGATACAGGCACTGCTTCTATTAAGTCATTGCAAGTATGGTACCATTTTTCCCTCAAGAATATAGTGTTTTCATGTTCAAATAAATTCTTACAGTCACTACCAGTAGTCAAGTGGATACCATAAACAGACACATCGCTGGACTGTCATTGGTCGTTATACAACACTACTTATCACATACAAAGACAAAAAACAACACTAAGCATTCAATGCACCTTACAAAGGCAAAGATGTCACATCGGACAATTACTAGATCGCGAACGACGCTGTCGACACAGTATTGATGACCTGCACATGAATAAACTTGACTTTCAGGCAGACTGATGCAACCTCCATCGCACTAGGCCTTCATCCACCTCCAAAAAATGTCCTCTGTTCGCTTGGCGCCTGCTTCTCTCAATAAAACTGCTAGGATATTCAGTAGACCTGAAGATATTTTGAACGTATAGTTTGTCAGCTCTTTTTTCTGCTGGCGTGCTGCAATGGGTCTCGATATGTTCAAATATAGGATGGATGCAGCTGCATTTGCAAGAGAGAGGGTGACTGCTGTGCAACGGTTCAGTATTTGCTTATTATCGGTGGCTTTTCTAAACTACAACTGCACTCACTAGTCATGTAGACCTTCCTGCAGCCTACAAAGTTTCTTTGAACACGCAGAGTTCAAGAAAGCCTCACAGAGACAAACCCAGAACAAACTCTCGACGAAGAAAATGAGCCACCAGACCGAACAACACTAATTGAGGCTCAGCTGCCCACCACCCCTCGCCTATCGGGGGA